TTCTGCTCATATCACTAAGCTCTGCTCAACAAAGTCGGTCTCCAGTTTTGCCATTTTTTTAAAACAAGAACAACCTGCTTTTGCCTCATGATAACCTCTCGTCAAGGCTCCTTGTGGATGGAGGTAAATAAACAGGACTCATTCAAATAAGCTTTAAGATGACTAAAGAGTCAGCTTCCAAATAACTACGAGCACCAAACTGCTATTGAAATGAGTAATGGAATGGTTTAATTTTAACTGAAGTCCGTCTTATTGTTTATATATATATATATATATATATACCTCTGACTGAGATATTAGGAGCATTTGAACATTAGTGGAGGTATAAAGAAGAAAAGGGGACCCTGATCTTCAAGACACATTTTATTTATAATTTTGAACCTGGCTTTATCCAATCCTCAGATTTGATTTTTTTTTTAAAATATATGCAAATTAGTGCATATTTAATTAGATAATGCTGGGAACGTTTCTGCTAGTAAAAAATTTGACCCGGTGTCTCGGATTAACTAGTTGTGTGTCCTGGAATCAATTTAATAGGCATTTTATCTACGGTGGTGAAAACAAGGGTACAGTCTGATAATTATTAATTGCCGTTCTAGCGTGTAGTTTGAATTGGTGCATAATTTGCATGTGTAAATGCACGTATTGGCTGATGTATCAGTTTCAGAAGAGATAATACATAAATTGCTGCTGAGGTGTGACAAGTAGGCCTATGTTGTTTTCCCATTTTTTTGTCACCTGAAGAACTCCTGCTCCGCTCGCTCGTTGCATCTGGCCTCTGTACAATGAACGCTCTCGCATCCGGACTATGGAACCAATTGTCACGCTGGGAAGAAGGCAAATCAAATCTCACAGTGGCAACTAAGCGAGGAGATTGCTTTTCCTCTCCACTAGCTGAAGTTGGAAGAGTTCGGTTGGGGTTAGATGCGGCTGGTTGGAAAGAAAGAGAGAGAGAAAAATTAGGTTAGGGTGTCGCTTAGCTCTGCGTAGTTCTTGTTTACCACCCCATTTCCATTACTTTCCTCTCCGGCCTTTCCACCTTCACTCACAGAGCTCTTAGGGTGCGATTTGCCCCACCAGACCCTTAAGTATGTGGGAAGAAACACAACAATAATTACAGGGATAAGGTGACACTGGCCGCCAAACTGGGGCCGCTCGGATCATAACAACACATTGTAGAACCTGATTAAGTAGCCATTTGTGGCAGCTCGTCTGTAGTTTAAGCAACCCTCATCTCTGAGCCTGAAACCCAACCTCTGTGAAAGAAATATTGATAGTCCTTATGATTTGATGGCGGTCAGCGGTGTAGGCATACAGTACATTACTTTACAGGAAGATTGCAGCTAATGCATGAAAGCTCTCTGGCATAAAGACCTCTGAGGGCCAAGGGCGCCTCTTAAATGCCCTCTGGCCATCAACCTGAATTAATGAAAAACACAAGAACATTGCAGAATACAATTGATATCCCTTTTTGGGGGATGCTTACTCTTATAAAGAACGTGTTGATGTCTGCTTGAATTCAGTACTGAAGTGTTTACTAATCTTCAGCAGTGAGACGACTTTATGGAACAGCAGCTGTATTTGCATATCTGAAGCTATTACTCCAATTAGCCCATTCTGATATAAGCGGAGAGATCAAAATGTCAACAGAAGGAAATCTGCTGAGATGACGGAGCCTGAATCATAGACAGTGACTCTTCTCGTAAAAGGGTTAGTGATCCGTGCAGTGTAACTGCGTTTCAACAGCGCTCTCATTTGTTTTAAGTGCCGTGGCCGAGGAGAGTGAGAGCAAAGCTTCGTATGTGTTGATGCACAAGGAGGACGACCTCTCGCTCTCCCAGCAGAGATCTGGAGAACGCAGCTTAGAACCAGCCACATAGAGGCACATCATTTGGAAATTTGTATACTGTCTTTTTTAATGAATCTTTCCCCTTGTTACTCAGTCCATTGCTGTTCATTAGTCTTTTTGTGGGTGACTGTAGAGATGGAAAGGTTCTGTAATGAGTTCTCACAGGGGCTAAAGTAGAGCACAGGTGCCATAAAACACACTCACACACACACACCTATCTATCTATAGCAAATATTTCAGAACTGTGGTGTGTACACTCTTAGAAAAAAAAAAAAAAGGGGTTCATTGGAGTTCTTTATATGAAGCATAGGGTTCCAAAGAAACTTTTAAGCTAAAAAAGGTTCAATAATGACAAGAAAGAACCCTTTTGGCACAAAGGTTTTTATTGGCTATTATTCATTAATATATTACATTATTCTGTAACATTTTGGAATTCAATTATTTTTTATTAAACTGTTGTAGTAACTTAATATCACATTGTAATCATGCTTATTTTTGGAAGAGAAAGAGGCACTCTTCGTGTGATATTGATTAACTACATAAAAGGATATAAATATATACATTTTCTAACCCTCATATCTAGGATTTTATGATCATTCACATTCATTGTATAGAACATTTTAGGGGTTCCAAATACTTAGCATTGCTAGAACCTTTTAAGGGGTTAAAAATGGGTTTTTACCCTTTTTTTCTAAGAGTATATATATATATATATATATATATATATATATATATATATATGGAGAGAGAGAGAGAGAGAGAGAGAGAGAGAGAGAGAGAGAGAGAGAGAGAGAGAGAGAGAGAGAGAGAGAGACATCAGTTCTGAAATATTTGCTCACGCCTGTTACTTTGATATTAATAGAGTAAGCCCTGACAAAGACAAAGAGGCAAGTAACTAACTTGTGAGCTACAACGAGAACAAACAAATTGAGGTCTGCTAATATAATGTTAATTAAAATGGCTTTTTACAAATTATCTCTGTGATTACAATGACTTAAGGTTTAATTAGAAACATAGCAAACACCTACACAGGGAACCTCACACACACACACACACACACACACACACACACACACACACACACACACACACACACACACACACACATAAAAAAGAACGTTAACCAGTGAACCAGAGAACGTTCAGAGGGTATATCTCAATTAGACGCCTGGTCACTCGTCACTTGCAATTAAAATATTATCATGTGTTGAGGTAATTAAGAAGTGTGGAGGTGAGGCAGTAAGCAGCAGCTTACTGACTGGAGATGGAAGAAGATCTGAGGTGGACAGTGATAACGATTACTTTACTATAAAAAACAAGATTTTTTAAATGTATTTATTTAATTTAAATATATTTAACAGCCATCTAAAGATATGATATATTTTATTTAAATATATATTGCTAAAATTAATTCAATCATGACAATTACGTGACAATTTGGTCTTGGCAGGCTAAATCTGCCATGCATGCTTCTGTTGCTAAATATAATTTAATATTAAACATATTAAAAACCAGTAAAAGTATGTTTACAGAAATAGGATCCAATAAATCCATTGTGAAATGAATCCTGCTAACATGTCACTTATGTAATTGTTGAATTGCTCTGTAGGTATCTTTTAGTCACTGGTGATATACACAGATGAAGGAAATGGGCATGTTTTTGGGATCATAGAACTTTATGCAGAGTTGTTTCATCTGTGATTATGATAGCTAGTATCTGTCTCTCAGCAGCTAGTGTGGAGGTCCCTGGCTGGCGGCATAATCATTGGTCTTGTTGCACTTTCTGCATTAACCTTCTTATCGTCTGGGTGACTTCTGTTGTCAGAGGGGCTGATGGCTAGACATACCCCTGGAAGGAAGCCATTGAACTATTTTCTATCTCAGTTTAGAATCAGCTGAAGTTGAATCTGAGAGGCAGGTTTCTCCCCAGGGAAAATGCTTGCATCAATAGTAGCCAGTTAGATTCAAAATGTTTAATCCAAACTGGAAAACAGAAATTCCCACTAAATGAACATAATATTTCTTATCCTTTTTTTTTTTTTTCACCAATTAAGCAACAGCCATTTACAGTGATGTTAAGCTGCATGTGTTTATACTTATCATTTTAAATTTGAAAAATGCCATGAGGAGATTTTCTGACCAATCAAATTTATTGTTGAATCTAGGCCTGGTTTCACAAACAGGGCTTAGATTAAGCTAGGACTAGGCCTTAGTTCAATAAGGACATTTAATTAGCTTTAATAAGCTATCAAATCAAATATTGAATCAAACTGAGTTCCGATTCACTGAAATGAACAGTTTAAAGTGATTCATTAGTCAATTTATTGAACTTACCAACAAGACTTGGGAACAGGTCTTTCTCAACACTCTAGTTCCTGCAAAGACAAGTCAAAGAGTATTGTGAAATTAGTCATGCTGTTTACAAAATTTAATGACCAAATATGAAGTGCATTGAAATCTTTGCATTATTCATGTTGATTTAATTTCACAACGCCAGCAATAGCGGCACAAATATACTGTGAATACTCTATAAATGTATCACCCAGTTCTACTGTGTACTTCTAGTCATTTATTTAGAAAGCGCTGCCTTCCTGAAGACTCTGAAGTCTCTTTCTCAATGTGGGTCAAAGAGTCATCAAATGCAGATCATTGAGGCCTTTTCATCTGCAATTGCAAAGTTAAAAAAAATCCCCTGGCACGCTCTTAATTTCTTCCCGCTGAATATTTATTTCTTTGATATTTCTACATTAGCATCTTCAAAAGTGTTGTGAGGAAAAGCAGCACTCGAAGAGAGGAAACTTTCTTCTCTAACCCCCAAAACCCCTCCTCTATTCCCCAGTTCGGCTTAATGACACTTTGAAGGGCGTGTTTTTTTTTTTTTTTTTTTTTTTGGGTGGGGGAGGCTGGAGGAGTGACGACAGGAGCAGACTCACTGCAGCAGAACAGGCCACATGTGCTTAGAAAGAGAATGGGGGAGTTTGCCTTTGAAAGTCCAGGCAGCTAACTAGAGTCTTTGTGTAAAATAACATTTATATTGAAAGGCAATTACTGGTGACATTATTTTGGTTGCTGCATAATTAAATTCATTTTTGTTCTCTCTCTCTCTCTCTTTCTTTCTCTCTCCCTCTTTAATTCTTTCTCTTTCCCCCAGACGGAGAATTATTCCATTGACTCCAGTTATGTAAACAGCAGAGCACACCTAATTAAAAGGTATGTCTTTATAAAGCAATCAGATTAACTTATCTAACTTGTTTTTATGCATTCTTAAAGCGGTCAGATCATAGCTTGTTTTGTTTTTCATATTTTCTTTTGTATTATGCTAAAAATCCTATTTTCATGTGCAAAGAGCAATACTATTATTATAGTAGGCTATATATTCTGCTTTTTCTCATGTCAACTGGGTGTACCAATTGTCACATATTTCGGAACGAGATGTTTTTTTGCATATTAGTTTCCAACGCATTCTCACCCCAAGGCGTCACCTTTGACCATGCTTCAATATTTGACGTTTTAGGCGCCCTTTTGCGTCACTTACATGACGCGATCCTACGGCGTCATCTAACTGACGCTAAAGGAAAGCGTCAGTTAGAGGACGCGGTTAGGTTTAGGTATGGGGTGGGGGTAGGGTACACGCGATCCTAGGGCGTCATCTATCTGACGCTAAAGGGCGCCTAAAGCGTCAGATATTGAAGCATGGTCAAATGCTTCCCAAGGCGTCAGTTAGGTGACGCCTTGGGAGTGAGAATGGGCTGTAGTTTCAATAGGTGGATATACAATTACAGTACAATGTACAACTCTTTATCTAACAACAAAAACTTACGATATTTCCCATTTCAGATGCCAATATTCAGTCTTAGAGTTGCCACTCCACATAGGCAAGATATTAATGCTCAAAATGTTTATAAATGGCCAGTGTTAAGCTTTAATAATTCAGTATTGTAAGTGTTTAAGCACATCCTTTTTCCCCCCCTAATATGAATAATTCCATAAAATCCCTGCATCCCCAACGTGTGTATACATATTACATGTTAGAGAATATTAAAACTGTAGCCCAGAGCGGAGGAGGCTTGTGCGGTTAAGCTACATCTGTGTAGATGTTAATCTGATAGCTAAATCTACATGAATTTTAATCCCGGAATTCCAAAGGATTCTCCCTCAGTGCACACAAGGAGGTCTTTGTAAGGCCACGGAGATAAGGAAAAGGTAACGTTATTTTGCACTGTGGAAGAAAGGAGCAAGGACAATAGATCCTTTGTACTGGCAGGACTTGGCTAGCATTCCTCAGTCCACATAAAAGGAGGCTTTTGACTGGCAGGGAACATTGGCATGCAGACATCCCTAATGAAGGTCCTTGGCCGCCTGGGGCCCTGGCCGCTATGGATGAGCACAGGGACTGTAATGCCTCTTTTACACGGAGCAAAAAAAAAAAATAACATTCAGTTTTACCTCAGTACCGCATTTTTCAAACCAATTACAGCAATTTTATCTTCTGAAAAAGCACTGCATGTGTACATAAACAAAGAGTATTCAAGTGTCGACTGTTTGGCTCTTCTACACTACAAAGAAATCCCCGGTGCCTGTGGGAGTGCAGACTGGGACAGGTGCAATTAGACAGATAAAATCAGAGACTGCACTACCACCATTGCAGTGACATTGCTAGAATTCCTCTCTCCCTCTTCTCTTTCTCCTTGGAAGAGGCTGCAGACATGCTTTTGTCTATGTATGTCTGTGTGTGTATGTGTATACATGCGTTTCTGATCCTCGCTGTTGCTTCAGAGGCTGAATGTGTTCCACTGGGCTAACTATCAAATTAAGGGAAATCAGGCTTGTTCACTGCAGCTGTCTCTTGGCAGGTTTTTTTTTTTTTTTTTTTTAATCCCTCTCGCTTTATCAAGTCATATAATGTGGGTAAAGAGGAAAAGCACAGTTTGCTAAAATTATTAAACATCTTTCTCTCTTTTTTTTAAACATCCAGGGGTTTATGTGACCAACATAAGTTCTCCTAAATAAGAGGAAGTGGCCAGGTTTTGTTTACGTAAAAAATAACAACCATGCAATAAAAGAATTGTAGCTTTTGTCAAAATTCTAAAGTATTTCTTTTCCAGGAAAATTAACCATAAATATTGGTGGATCATATTGTATGCAGGGATGATATACAAGATATCTGTGCAGTTTTATTTTACGATTCACATCTTTTTAAAAAAATATATACTTTTTTAAAGTGATTGTTATTTTTACACACCCCCAGGGTCCATTAGTTAACACTGGTTAATGTCTTATCTAAATTAAAATGAGCAGTACCTTCGTTACAGTATTTATTCATCATTTTTAATGCCAGAATATACAAATAAAACTGTTCATTGTTAGTACTTGTTCAGGTCTACTGAATAATGTTAACAGATTCAACTTTTGATTTTAATAATGTATTAGACAATGTTAAAAGTAGCTAAGATTAAAAATGGGCATTTTTTTTCAATAATTGTTAATTTTATTGTAAAATGTTACTGCATATTTTAAGAAAATTGTATCAATAATACAATGAAAATAAAAGAGGCAAAAAAGTATCATAAAAGTATTTCAGAGAAGTCATTTTGTATAATATTAACCTACAGTTTAACTTAGATTATCATTAATATGCCTTCATTTTTGTCTGTTCCAAATCCGTCAAGTCATATGCACTGATTTTATAATATTTTTTTTAGCTAATTTTGTATTTTGGCAACTCAATAGAGATAATGTTACATAGACGAGAGAAAGCCAGAGTTTGAGAGTCTGACATAGGGTGAGTAAACGATGACAGAGTTTTCATTTTTTGGGTCAACTACCCCATAAATGCCTCTGCAATCAACAGACGTATTTCTGAAACAGTCCTTAGAAAATGTAGGAACTTTGACCGTAGCAACACAAAAGAGCTCTGCACAGCCAAAGTGAGTGCAGGCCATTGACCCCCGATCCTTTATCGGGGGTCATTTCGTGAAAAAAAAAAAAAACCTTTTTCAGCTACACTCTCTGTGTGGCTGGAAGATAAATAAAGGTAGCACGGGGTGAAGAGAGAGTGAATGATGGAACCAAAGTTGACAGTTAAATAACACTATCCTTCTTTCTTGTCTTTTCTCCTTCATTTGGCTCTAGCACGTCAACATTCAAGGACATGGAAGGAAACAGTCTGAAGGACAGCGGGCACGAGGAGAGTGACCAAACCGACAGCGAACATGATGTTCAGAGAGGGCACTACGCTGACACGGCTGTCAACGACGTACTGAATATGACCGTACCCCCCAACAACTCGCAGCTACATGACCAAGGTAAGACAGAAAGATCTTGACTAGCTGAATGCATAGGAAGAAAAAAAAAAAAATCAAGACTTAGCTTCGCAGGCAGAGTTGGCCCAGAGGCGCCTCACTAATGCACAGGCAGCACTTCTCTTCCTGGAGTCTTTGATACGAGCCCGAGAACATTATTGACGGATGTGAGCAACGTCTGCAGTCGACTGCTACACTTCAGATCCAGACCTAAATGGCAGCAATTAGGCTGACAAAGGTTGAAGGTGGAAATCTACATATCACGCAGTCTCCTCATGCATAATTCACTTGGATCATTTAGCAGGGAATTAATGTTGATGTTTCTTTTTTCCCGACTGCCGTTAAAGACATCCTGTATGATGGCAGGAGTCAGTAAGAGGTCATGTTCACTCTCCGCTACTGCCACTCAACGCTTCAAAGTTATAGAGCAACGAGTGGCAGCGCTACTCAGAATCAAAGCGCGGAGAAGACCAAAGGAAGGCTCCGAATGGTTTTATTGCACCGATTGTTTTGTGTTGTCATGCTCAATCAGCCTTTGATCTATGCAATTTAGAACAATTGAACACCTCTCGCAGCCGCTAATAGTCAATAGAGAAAAACTCTACGTATTCTTGTCGGATGGAAATTAGTCAAGCAGTTTTCTGAATTACAATGAGACCTTGACATTTGCTGAATGGTGTATAGAAAATGGAGCATTTCTGAGGGAGGAATCATTCAAATCATTTTAACCAAAATTAAAATTGGTCATTAAAATCTGCAAGACAGTTGCTCTGATTGGAGTTTAAAGAACATGAGGCATTGTGAATCGCCTGTGACGCGCTAAATCAAGCTTGGCTGCGTCTGATTGACAGTGCTGCCGCTTACAGATCTTGGTGTCTTGTTTAGAGAAGAATAGCCAGCCTAATAAAAGAGCTAGGGATGAGAAAAGACAGAGTTAACGGCTATACAATAATTTAGCTTGTTCTTCCTCGTTGTGTTTTTTCCCCTCTGTAAAGCTTATTTGGTCCAGATCGTGTGCTCTATGGCTCTAATTAACAGGTTTGTTCTCCAGATGATTCACACGAGGTATGGCGACTAGACAACCCATTTAAATGTTTATATGTACATTTGTTTGAGCGTTGCTAGGGTCACCGTGGCATCCATGTTATGTCTGCACTATGGAAACCGCTGAGAGGAATTACGAGCCTCTGGGTTTCCATGATGGAGATCTTTCTGCATTTCTTTCACCGCCAACTTCCTGTCAACGTCTAATGAGCAATTAGTATGTCTCATCATGACTACAGTTTAAGCTGTTGTAGACGTCTCTCTGTAAGGGAAATTAATATACAGTATAGGACTCATAAAATGCACTCTGACATACCCTCGAGCTCGGCACTTACATAATTGGACACAACTAGAAAAATGTACAGAGAATGTTTCAAATAGATGAAGCTTTTCCAGGTCAGCCATTTTATCATTAGCAAAGCTCTTATCTGCTCATGAGCAAGCAAACATTGAAAATAAAGGATAGCAGATAAGCATAATGAGCACACACTTCAACGGTGCTGTCATCAGTTTTAACCAAATCCATTGGACGGTGACAAATATCAGATACTAATGTCATTTTGAGGCATGTCTTCTATCATATTATTCTGCAGCAGTTACTGGCTTCTTTACAATGGAAAGCAATGCAGTGAACAGACGACTTTCATTTGAGTCCTTTAAAAGTCTATGATCGCAGACGTATCAAAGCCTGTTTATAATTATGAAATTAACTGACAATGGACGTTATTATGCAGAAATATGATGGAATTAATTTGCCATAACAATCTTTGTAATTGTAATTGCAACTGTTCCGGAAATACAAAAAAAAAAAAAAATCTGTTTTTGTTGAAACTATCAACTCACATTATTTTTAAAAAGAAAAACATGTTTAACAGCAACATTCCTAGTGAAAAACTACATTACCCACTATTCTGCAAAATAAATAAATAAATTAAATCAAAATTAGGATGGATAGTTTTACATTTATTTAAACAAATAGTTTTACATTTATTCATAATTGATTTATTTTATTGTCATTAGCAAAGCTTCATAGGCAGTGTTGTGCCTGAATGCGCTCCATGAACGAACGCATTCATATACATTTTATTCATATACATATATATATATATATATATATATTAAAAAGAAGCTTGCAAAATATGGAAAAAAAGTACTATGAACTAGTTCATTTTTGAAGTATGAACTACAAACTGAACTAGTTCATTTTAAAATGTGTGAACTTAACTTTGAACTCAACACTATTCATAGGATTGTAGTTTCTTCTCCTTATTCATTTTTTTCCTCAGAGTTCGCGTTTTGTGATTCACCTCGTTGCTTGTTGGTTTGGTTCATGGCTCATAACTCTTTACAATCCATATGGGAAACTACATCTGGAGCCAAGGCTACTAAAAAATAGGGCAGGAACTGTTGTACTTTATTGTATTACTAAACCTGACTCACTGACTAAATTGGCTAAAAACAATTTAATCTCTCAAACCCAAGATGAAACGGCTTCATTAATCTCAGGTGGACTGTTTGCCGAAAGTTCTGATGGATCCTCACGTTTAGAGGCTCTTTATAAAAGGGTTTGGTATTAGTGTAATAAATTTACACGATCATAGATTCCCTAAAAACAACCGAATTTCCAGCTAGGAAAAAGACACACTCATTCACCAAGACATTAAGGCATACAGCAGTTGTAGTGGGGATACCTCTGATCTACCCTTTAACTGTTTTAGTACAGTGAAACAAGTTTAAACTGCAATTGCCAAAGGACATAAACAGCGAGTCTGGATATAAAGACTCTCCTTTGTTTCCCCCTTTTGCTTTTGTTTTTATGTTTTTTTTTTTTACCCTCATTCTTTCTGGAAACAAACAGAGGCAGGAAGTTGAGGGATAGTAAGCTCCCTTCTGTCTCGTTCCCCAGGCTCCCTTGCAGTGTAAATGTTTATGATTCACGCAGCTCTTTGAAAAGTTAACGTTTGCACCAGGGACACAGTGTTACCTCCGATTTAAAATGGCTCCTCCCCAACTTCTCTTCCATTGTGAGATCTAGTGTGAGAACGGAGGAAAAAAGCCCTCATAGGACTACAGTCTCTTAATACACAATACACAAACTTCCTCAGGGGTGCTTCCTTCATAGCCTTTTTATTCTATTACCAGGATCTATGTCTATTTCCTGCAGTTTGCACTCCTTTTCTTTCAAGAATACAGGAATTTATGGAGGCTTCTATGGCACACAGCATTGCACTTATAGGGAGATGGTGTGTTCTTGACAGGAAAGCGTAGGAGATTGGGCTAATGCTACTGTACCAGGGTTGTGGTGGTCAAGAGGCAAGACTAATGGTTGAATTAGGGCAGAATTACCTACAGTGCTCAGTCACTGACTGAAACCTTCCCTCTGTGTTTAAAGCCTCCCTGCATTGAATTATACATCAGGTTACAAGCAAAAGACTCTTGAGAATGATGGTACCTGATAGAAATAGCATACAACCATGAAATACTTCTGCATTTACTTTTCACATCCCTTCAAGAGCATTTACAGCCCCCTATGGGCCCAAACAAATCTGTGAATCTTAAGGATTGACTGCTGATTTTGCTTGTTCTAGGCCAGAGGTCTGGTTGAAGGCTATTTGTAGAGTTCCCAGTCCCACCAGACAAAATGACAGTCACCATTAAGCTCTTCTTCTCCTCGCTCTTTTTTTTTCCCACCCCCAGAGGAGATTGAGGAGCTTTGGCAGCTCAATTTGCAGCTGCTGAGTTCCAGCATGTTCCACTCAGAGTGTCCCCGACCCCGGGAGTCTTTTATTCATCAATTCCTCTGTCCCCACGGGCTTGTATCTCCTCCCATGCCCCAGGATTTCACACTCCCTCCACCACCCAGTGCCCCATCAGTAGACTCTGGCTTCTAATTGATTTTGATGAAATTGATAAAAGAGTTTCCTTTTTTGTCTCCATCTCCCCCCATGGACCCCCTAACCCATCATAAACTCCTCCTCCTCAGTCACCCTCTCATTTTCTTCAACACATTACTGGCAAGGTCCTGCCAGTTTTCCTCATATTAAAATAATTGACAACTATAAACGACAGGTTTTAGACTCCAGTTTCGGTGTTTTGGGTGGACATTTTTTTTTTTTTGGCATGTGGGGGGCTCGGGTCGCAGCCCGTTCTCATCCCAAGGCGTCATCTAACTGACGCTTTTGACCATGCGTCAACATCCGACGCACATAGCACCCTTTAGCGTCAATATGAGACGCGGATATATATGGGCCAGAAGGCACCCCCTAGTGGTCTAACACTAACACTACCCCACACCTAAACCTACCCATAACGGAAGTGCCATGTGCGTCGCACTTAGACGCATGGTCAAAAGCGTAAGTTAGATGATGAGAATGCATTGCAGATCGCCTAATGCAAATGCTGACAGATGTCGAATTGAAGACAGGAACAAAGAAAGACAGAGAGAGGACTCAGAGTCGGGTAAGCAAGGAGCAGAACGCAGGAGAAATCATGTCTTTGACAGGCTAGTGCGGTTTTCTCTCGACTCTGAAGTAAACTGCAGCCTCAAGGGTGCATCATGACAGCTGACTTCTCATAAAAACTAATATTAACATTTGACGGAATCAGACAAACAGTATATCACTGGGTTACTGACTGATATGAGACATATGTACATAAATGGTTATATCATTTGGACTTACTGCATTGAATTACATTTGTATGGCATGTAATTAATGAAAATGTCATGAAAAACACATTAATCAACATGGCACACATTTCTGCCTTCAAGAGGCTAAGTGCTGTGTTAAATTACTTAATAAAATTACTGATGAAAGTGGTCTTTAATGAAGGGTTTTCGTTTTGTCAGCGAGAATGAGGATGGAATGACAAATGCACATCATGACAATAATTAAAAATTTTCAAGGAAAGCTAACTGTTGACAAATATATGACAAGAAAAAAATAATAGTAACATTTCAATAAAG